AATATAGCAAAACACACGTTGACGAGTCTAACGCAATATCAGAAGCATTATTGTCTGTGATTGATAGGTCGGGTCAAGAAACTGATATTAGCTGCAAAAAGCATTCATAATAGGCTGGTTGGCTTAAGAAGGACTACCGTGGCCAATCATAACGAAGTTCATGCAACTTCGTTAATGGGATCATCCCGCGGCCTACTAATCCGCCGCTTCCATCGGAGGCTGGAAATTTTACTTGTATATTCGGGGTCCCTCCCCCCTCCCCCCGGTTTATATACTGTAAGATTAACTACTTCACGCGTTCCGGGAGTTCGGTCCTGGTAACCTGTTGCTAATCCCTGGAAACTGTGCTAACGTTTTCTCATCGATTTCTGTTTTTACTGAAAATTACTTGAGAAGTTATATACACCCACGAACCGTGGTAATACGTTTGAGAGTTACCTCTCTACATGAAATTTTATTTCATTTAGCAGTTTATATTAATAATTAAAATCATGCAGTTTTTAATATAGTTCTACGAGTGTTTGGTCAAAGAATTTCTGGCAACCGTGGGCGTGCAACAATTTCTGTGATAAATACGTTTCAACACGATTTTATATAGATAAGTATGATGTTTCAGTGAATCTTCGTCATTTTTAAAAATAAAACTATGACTGATATATTTCACAACATTTTATCGAATTAAAATGTCGATTCACGCGTTCCGTTAATCCTCAGAATGCTTTTGACGCAGTCTTTGAAAATATATTAAACAAATAGCTTTTTTCTGTTTACGTGGTCACGATATTTTTAGAAAGTTTTACGCTGTCATTTTCGATGACATCGGTTTTGTATAAAGTACATTTACTTTTGAGAAAACATAACAATTGACTAAGAAACAATGAAGTTACTTTTTTCATTTCTGATTGATTTATCGTCAAATTTATTCGATTTTAAGATCGCCGTCTCAAAGTGAATATATTGCAACAAGTTTTTCATAGAAACTCGTTTTTTTCGTGGTCAACTCAAGCGAAACTTTTTACCTCGCCATGGCGCGCCATGGGGAAAGTAGTTAACGTTCTGGAGAGTAAGTCGTTACTAAGAAATAAATGTTACTTTCTAATGAGATATTTCATTCTCTGACGAAATAAAGCATAATTTTATTAGTAAAATTTGCTCATTAACTTCGGATTAACAGAAACACATATATATTTTTGAAAGAAAAAAATATACTATCTTTGGCAAAGACATTAATGCAGTAAAATGAAAATAATAATCTATAATATATATAATCTAATATAATCTAATATATATATATATATATATATATATATATATATATATATATATATATATATATTATTATATAATATATTATTATATATTATATTATTATTATATATTATTAAAATAATAATCTAATATAATATATATATTATTTTAATAATATATAATAATAATATATTTTAATAATATATAATCTAATATAATCTAATATATATATATATTAGATTATTATTTTCATTTTACTGCATTAATGCCTGTGCCAAAGATAGTATATTTTTATCTGATAATTTAGGAACAACTTTACGTGAACCTAATCGAAATAACCTTTTAAATGAAAAAGATCGGAACAACTTGCCCCCGGTACTTCTAGCCCCGGTCTCCCCTACGTTAAAAAAGCTTACATTATTAGAAGAATGGCTGGACAATCGTGTGATATATTTTCAGAACAAACACCTGTTTCATCTCGGACGTGCCTACGAACTTTCGGTCTGGTTATTTGGATCAATGGGCAGGAAACGTACCCAAAAGTAAATAAGGAAAGAAAAGATAGGGCAGGAAATAAGAAAGCAAATTAGAGAAAGGGGTGCGAAGTGTTTAGGGAGTCTTTGGTAAATGTGAACAATAGACTAGCAAAGGTTCGATGCCAAAACGTGGGGACAAATGATACAAACCATACGATGATTGATGTAAGATCATACGACGAAGAAGATATCGAAAGAAATCTTTCGATAGAAATAACCATTTTGTTGAAAAATCAACAAGTCACTTCCATAAATGCAATCTAATTATTCTATTTGACTATTAATTCGAGATAATTATTACTCTCCTTTCTAGTACTGAAACCGTGGACCATTATTAGCTTTTCTGTAGACCGTAACGTGAAAATTTCAATTAAACTCTGTACTCTGGGCCCATTGTTCTGGTCGACTAAAAAGTGGTAGACTACGAAACTGAACCGAAAAGAGAGCTTTTTTTGAGAAACAACTTTCACACGGCTGAAACAGCTGAGAAGACAGTCGCGACGTTTTCAATTAAGGGCACAAAGACCACGTAAAAAGCCAGCACTGGGTATCAAAAATCGACAAATGAGACTTTCAACTGCCGAGACACATAAACATTGAATGAGATCAGGATCAGCAAAAAGTATTATTCCGGGACGAATCGAAATTCAATCGTATTTCTTCTGACGGATTGCGACACGCGAGGCATCGTTCTGCGGAAGATTTGCAGCCACAGTGCATTTTACTCATTTCTTTCCTTTTCGTCTTAAGCTTTTGTTCGCTACTGTACATACAGCTCGGTCATTGAGAAGCCTACTGATAGGTTTCTGGTAAATCAAGCGTGAACAATTTCAGACAAATCGATGTTTATTTGAAACTGCAGCACCTTGCTAATGCCTCTAGTCTCGAACATTTTTTCGCGCAGCGAATTAAGTCGGCATCGACGACAAGTTAAAACGTAGTTTTCGTTACGATTCCCGCCGCGCATCCCCTGCAAAGGTGGCAAGAAGCAAACCTGGGAAACAGATTCTATGTCCTGTCGCGAGCATGGGAATCGGAAACTCAATTGTCTGCCGTGTCAGCCGGCCGATGGAACTGCATACGAAAACGACTGTTTTCTCTCGCGTGCATCTTCTACACATGTACATTTTCATAACACGCGCGTCATTCGAACGTTTTACGTCCCGTCCTGCTACGGTCCTTGATTCAGCTATATACATTTATAGTCTGTTTCACAAGAGACTGGATACGATATCTGCGAAACTTGATATCCAATTAAGGAGAGATCGTTCCAGTATAAACATATGCAGACCGCTCTGATACGCGTTTGATTAAAATCACCTGCAATGTACATCGGGAAATTCGAAATTTGTCGTTCCAGTGAAATTTAAGAAGAACAACCATCGTATTTAAATGTACAGAAAATCTGTGCAACAACTTTCAGCTGGTACGATGATCTTCGCAAATGCGACTCGTAAAAAAAGAAATAAAAAGTGCAACAGACCTGTTAATTGTATTTTAAGTGAATCAATCATTCTGTTTTATTCTTGGCATGTGTATGAAATGATAGGAACATGGAATATTAAACTCCCCTTTGATTATCAAGTCTTAAGCACTCTCTTTTTGTACTTTTAAAGTTCAAATATTATAGAGTTCTAAACATTTGTCTCGAAAAATCGTTAAGAGAAACGAATATGAAAATTCATTCGATTAATAAGCATGTAGTAAATAATTGAATTTTGTTTAGTGGAATCATATCGAAGTCGAAAGCTTCCATACAACATTGCAAATTTTATAGAAAGTACAAAACAGCTGAATATACCAAAGCTAAATCTTATGGTTTCTGTACGCAAAAACCGAGCATATATATATAGACGAGAGTATGGCAATTCTTCGATTAGAATTCCGCGTGCACCTTGTGGAATGTAGTCTGAACCCCGAAACTATTATTGCAACGCGAGATACATGTTACGTCCTATATTACACCCATGAAACATCGTCGAATACGTCGCAGATTTTTCATAACTGTCTATTGCCAAATAATGGTCATTCTGTATATGTTCAGTTTTTCATACATTTCTTCTTCGCATTATTACAAATAATGCGACACGAATAATTATGCTACCAACGTGTACAAAATAAGAGACTGTGCAGTTTTTGCTAATCGAACAGCGAAATAATCGTAAAAATCATTTTCTTGTGCAAACGAACGAAAGCACAGTTATTTCAAATGCAATGTAAATCTTCTCTAGAATTTGATATCCGTTGGAAATCAAACGGAATTCTGTTGGGATTTGTAAATATAGCCAAACTTTCCACCGTGCACGATAGGAGTTATAACACGACTTTATTATCTTTGATATTTCAATTAAATCCTTGCCGTTCGTTGGAATGATTTTTGACAGGATTCCCTATGGCGGCGCGAATGTGTTTCAACGATTCTGTTTGCACTTCGATCGATCGAGTCGCTTGAAATGGGGAAAAGTGTAGATTTAACTTTTGTTAATACACAAGAATTCAATTTGATAGCGGAACAGGTTTCTATGCGGTACTCGTGCGCCGGGTCTCAATGAAGCCCCGTGTATCCATTTTCTTCTTTCTGCACACGTCAGGTACTTAGGCACGCTGTTGAGGTTTTAATTAAACCAATTCACCGGGAAAATGCCCACGTTCTGATTATTTTAGACACCATTTTAAGAATCCTAATGAGACTCGCCCACATTAAAGCATTCTTTAACCTTCGCCACTGAAGATTATGGGCCGCGGAAACTCCCTTCACGATCTCGCGTTACAAAAGAAACGTCAAATTAGGTGAATCGCCCGATGCATTTAAGCATTAGCGGGTTCTCTTGAATTGAGATTTCCTTCTTTTAATCTTTCTTAATTAAACTAGAAACAACGCATCTTTAGTTCCCCAATGAGATACGACTGGTCCGATGATTGTCATTCGAATTTGCGTGAAAAGACAATTTTATTAAACGATGACCGTTGCTTTTATTAACGAATGCATCGGTTCAGAAGTAGAATAGGATTTTATTGAATTTTATTGCAGTTGTTGTATTCCAATCTTATGCAGATTTGACAGTGATAGTTTGTAAATAGTAATAATAAAGGAATGTATATTTGTATTAACATTAAGAACGTTATTTTCATACTTAAACATTGCAATGTAATGTTCTAATAGCATCGCTTTGAATTCTAATCAATATTTATGTAATGAAACATTATTTGTTCTAGGTTCTTGCCTGAGCTATGGCCATTCGTGCTGGGGAGGTACGCTTTTATTCGTCAATATAATTGTAGCAACATTATTCCTATATTATAACATAGGATTATATTATGGATACTATTATATATTTTTTTATTATATTATTTTATTATGGATATATATAGGATACTATTATGACCGTGCATACATTAAATTAGATCGCGAATAACATACGAAGCTCTTTACGAATTTTCTTTTTATCGAAAACAGCTTGCATACTGACGTTTATAAATCTGCATATCCTTTATCAGAAATAACAAATGATTCTCATTCATTTATTGATTAATTTTAGATAATTGTAACGTAGTCATTTCTTAGAAAATCATATTTTCTCCACTGCAGCGAGAAATTATTGTGGTTTACGATGATATAAATCATGCTGTCTGGTATGCAGAAGATTAATTAGTCGAAGCACAGCACCTCGAAAATGAATTATCGGAACGATTCCCGTTTAATTTGAACTCGAAGTTCTGTGTTGTACACGCGAGTTTCTAAAACTATTTAACCCTAGAAAGATAACCATATGACAACGTACGTAAAAGATAACCATACGCTTCAGAGGCGCATGCTTTTCTAAGGCGTCAATTGTATACTAACAATGGATATTTATTTAAGTTAATCTAGTCATTTTAAAGGTTTGGCATTATTGTAAAAATAAAATGCATTTACATTATATTTTTTTATATTTTAAGTAATTTTAAACTTAAATCACTAGACCTCTATGAAAAATTAACAAAAATCAACAGTCTTCGCAGGCGCCTCTGCGACGTAGGTTATCTTTCTCGGGTTAACGGAACAGAGGCTCGTCTTTCGAAAATTTTCTCGAAATGCTTCGCGTAGCGCATGCAAATAGAAGAAGAAACATTTTGCATTTTGCTTTTCGACTTCAAAGGCGTCGAAGCGTTGCGATGCAACGCGGCACAATTCGGTTTTCTTCCTATGCATTTATGTATAACAATCCCTGATACGTACCTAGAAATGGTGCAGATCGTCATAACTTTCAATACGCCAAAGAATTTCATGTTTTCCTTTAACGCGTGTCTGCGGCTCGAAGCATAGAATATGCAGCGAGCATTGTGCTATCGAATAACATATTGTTAATTCCTGACTATGATAACTACTTCTTTGAATATATTACTTATAACCAGAATCAGTCAGATTCTGCGTCCACAATTAAGGCTTAACGTAACAATAATTGATAATTACAGCAACTATTTCACACGTATTCAAATAATTACACGATTGCAAACAAACGTGAGTACTAACAAAATAGAGCAAATCGAGATAGATTTGAGATTTTATAATACCATATTTAATATATTTTATATTTATAAATTTTAACATTTCAGTTTAGATTCCATTAACCCGAGAAAGATAACCTACGTCGCAGAGGCGCCTGCGAAGACTGTTGATTTTTGTTAATTTTTCATTGAGGTCTAGTGATTTAAATTTAAAATTACTTAAAATATAAAAAAATATAATATAAATGCATTTTATTTTTACAATAAAAATAAATATCCATTGTTAGTATAAAATTGTATAAATTAATAATATAATTAAATAAATATCCATTGTTAGTATAAAATTGACGCCTTAGAAAAGCATGCGCCTCTGAAGCGTATGGTTATCTTTTACGTACGTTGTCATATGGTTATCTTTCTAGGGTTAACTAATTTTGCCTTTTTTTTAATCTTTCGAGCTTGACATTCGCCGGTCAATAAATTAGTAATACATTGAAATTCACAGCAAATTATAAAAATAGAGAATGTTCCAGTTAGAATGTAATCATTTGCTTATGACCTGTGAAAAAATAACGAAAGCGATAAAAAATTGTCTGAGATTCTGTTTCATAATTATAAGTTGCTTCGATCTTATATAATATTTGTAATAATCGAGTGTTTGCGTGTGATAACAAATTTCATAAAAATTCTCTTAACACTGGAGCTACCAAACCAGTCAATGTGACTGGTTTCTGATCTTTTCTTTTGCAATTCCTCATACCATAAAAATGTTTCTACGAGAAAGTAGTCGAGCTCCTTTATTCAAGCATACAGGGTGAGTTTCGTAACATAACGACCTGAAATAACTCAGGAAATATTTGTTCTACGAAAAAATGTTTCAGATAAAAGTTGCATAGCATCGAGGGGAGACATTCTAATGTTTTATTCAGAATACGAAGGACACACCTTCAACTTTTTAAATAGAATAGTTAATACTTCTTCCCGAATGTGGATGAAGCGTTGAATTTTACACATAACAATTATTACACCAAATGGGATCTAAGATATATAGTTACCGAGGTATTAACAAAATAAGTTCGATTTTAAGCAACGTTCTCTGCTCATTACAATCAATACAATTACGTAATCTTATTATTAGAGAACGAGAAACATTTTCAAGAGTTTTTACTATTATTGCAAAACATACATAACTTATTGTTGCAACATCTAGGACTGTGTTTTCCAATACTGATTTGCACAAACAAAGTTGACTGACCACGTTGTGTTAACAGTCACGTTGATTAATGGTCTTATATATATATAATAATATATATAATATAATAATATATTATATAATATATAATATAATATATAATATAATATAATATTATATAATATATAATATAATATATAATTATATAAGTATATATATATAGTATATATATATAATAAACGTAATTTACTTTATTTTACTGATTAGAATACTATATGCCCTCTAAAAGCCATGCAACTTCTATCCGAAGCATTTCTTCGTGCATTTTACGAGTGCAATATTTTACGAGTTTTCAGAGATCGTCATGTTTCGAGACTCACTCTGCAGAAATATACAATAATATTAAATATACAATAATATATAAATATACATAATAGAAATCGCACGAAGTCAAAAATAAATCCGATCTTGTAATTGTGTTATAAAAGAACGTATACCAACCCCGTTAAAAGAGCTCNTATTATATAATATATAATATAATATATAATTATATAAGTATATATATATAGTATATATATATAATAAACGTAATTTACTTTGCTTTACTGATTAGAATACTATATGCCCTCTAAAAGCCATGCAACTTCTATCCGAAGCATTTCTTCGTGCATTTTACGAGTGCAATATTTTACGAGTTTTCAGAGATCGTCATGTTTCGAGACTCACTCTGCAGAAATATACAATAATATTAAATATACAATAATATATAAATATACATAATAGAAATCGCACGAAGTCAAAAATAAATCCGATCTTGTAATTGTGTTATAAAAGAACGTATACCAACCCCGTTAAAAGAGCTCGATGGTTCCGACTGTTGAAGCAAGCCTAAGCAATTAAAGTTATTATTTGACGATATTAATTTGTTGTAGGTCATGGTAAACGCAGCGGCGGACATAACAACGCTTACTTAGTTTCGACGAAAACGATGAACGACATACAGCAGGACGTGCCATCGCTCGCGAAGGAACAATGGATACTCTCGCGTTTAATTGCCCGACCTTTGATGTCCACAAAATATCGAGGAAGATGGGACCGACCGTTCAAAATAAAATCGCATTTTCCGCAGCACTGGGAAAACGGGGAACTGAACTCGCACGTGTACAGTGATACGCCGATTAGGTGAATGCAACAAGCATATATAAAAAGAGAGATTGCATGTCAGTAAGATTTTCTTAAACTTGTACTAAAGGATGTACAAATAGATCATCCAATTAAATCGAATGCGTCAGAGATAAAAAAAATATTCGAAAACAGAAATAATGTTCTCGGTCATTTCTCCATCGTAAAATAATTAGCACAAGATTACTCGTGTTTCCTGTAAGGTTTTTGTCTTTTCCGGAAATCTATGATTTCTGTGAATTTAATTTCTGACATTCCAAATTTCGTCTCAGCTCTATTATTATACTGTATCATACTTTTAAAAAATGCTGAATTATGTCAATCCGCTGGTTTCGTTTGTTCTTGACGAATAAAGGGCGCGATTTAAATGAACAGGATTGTAAATTTTGAGGTTGTTGCGCTAAACTAAATCTTTCATACAGCTGATCTTGTTCATCGCTCGTGTTGCACTCATTTTGCAGAGATCAAAATAATAACGAAGATCAAGACGATGGGAAAAAGAGGAATATTGGCGGCATCGAGGACATAGTGGAAGGCATTAACGACGAACAAAAGGAAATTCCGGAGATTCTCTTAATATCGAACAATGCAGAACACGAACAGGATAGGAAACCGCAGAACGTAGAACTGATTAAATTTCTGGTGAATTGAAGAATTATAAATTTATTCAAAATTCCACGTAATATTCAAAGCCTGATGACGTGTCGTTCTTATTTTCAGAGTGATAATTTGGAATGAGATGATTCTAACGCAACTGTGAAACAACACTATGTAAAATAGAAATTGTCATAAATGTATCGTGATTCGATTAAGGAGATTATTGTTTAAGCTGTTTGATTAGTGGTTCTTTTTTCTCGAATAAAATTGAGTGAATGTCTCATCAATATTGGTACTCCCTCCTTCCTGATGAAATTCAATTTTGAATTCGTACTAATAAAGCGATCATCGCTGTCGTTGCGTTGTCTGCTCTAATCGCGTCTTTGCAAAATCTTTCTGTACTTTGCGATTATATTAGCAGTTTGACTGTCACGCCAACCGTCTCGAAATGTGATAAAATCGAAGTACTTTGTTTAATCAAATTAAAATTGAGAAATTATATTGCATGACATCGATCAACTTCTTCAATGTTCTTACGTCTTGCGGATCTTAATAAAATTGGGAAGATATAACAGATTTGCGTAATAATTGATTTAAAATGTGGCTGACGCGACAGTCAAAGCGTTAAACGAGAAGATAATTGGTAAATCGGCTCTTTGTGTAATTTTATTATTAATTATCTCGCAAACAACATGATGAAAGGCAAGCTATGTTAAAAGATGACGACAAAATGATAAACACGCTAAACGATCGAAGATAGACAAACTTTACTGTAAGCGATACTATGACGACGAAACTAGAAACACAGAATTTGTTCTAGGTCTAGTGGCATCAAGATTACGTGACAAACTAAACATTATTGTATCGTTGCGTATTTACATTAATTAATAGTTTCATAGTTTCACGCGTTTGCTCATCATTGCACAGAAGGCGCGGTGAGATTAATTTATCATTAAGCTCGTGGTTGATTTAATAGTCGGAAGTCCGACAGAATCATAACGAAATTTCCAAGTTGGAAGATATGTGATTACGTTACGATTTCCTATTATACTTATTATATATGTATGTATATATGTATACACTATTCTACTATTGTATTATGCATATATTGTACTGTACAATTGTTTCTCTCAAAATTATAACAGAACTTGACGCATAGATATGTCACATATAAAAATATAGCACATGGAAACTCAATTGCGATTTTAATTATATTGTAAATTAAACTGTTTGAACTACATCGTTGAAACACAGTTCAATTGGCCGTTATGATTGCTTAACCTACGATCCTTATGCTTTAAATCCTGTTTCATTTCTTCGGTAAAGAAAATATAATACTTCGTTCACAAGCGACACGATTTTAATCGAATTAACGTAACTCTATCTATTGAACAATTATCGAATTTTCAACCATGTTTTACATTTTTGTAAGGTAATACATTCTTTCTAGCCTACTTACTATTTAAAAAATCTATTTCATCTAGTCCCGTTTCACAGCCATTAGCTCGATGCAGTCACCAGGACGACTCGTAATCAAATTCTGACGTTCGATATACCGCGTATTACGTTTCCGAAATTCTCGCGATGTATCACAATTGCGTCGAGTTAATTAGGCTGGCGTGTGACGTCGTGTCGGCGCGAAGAATGCAACAACAATTTTTTCCTCGAGACATGTCGAAAACCGTTGCTCCTTTACGAATCATGGGCGCGATCCCAAGCACGATATTAAACGTGGAATTGTGAGCGAAATTGAGTGCGAAATTGAGAGCGATCTAAGCACGATTTCAAGCACGATTCAAGCACGATTTCAAGCACGATTTCAAGCACGATCTCAAGCACGATTTCAAGCGCGTTCGACTCGGCTTCGCTCAGCTCGGCACGGCTTTGCTCAGTACGGCTTTGCTCACTTGGCTTTGCATCGACTAGGTCAGCTCGGCTTAGCTTCGCTCAGCGCGGGTCGAATAAAATGCCCTACCTAGCAGACGCGATCGGAAACGGATATGTCACCACGGATTGCGTTAAACGCGATTCGTAATTGTCGAACGACGACTCATGGGCCCGGTCCCAAGCGCGATTTTCAGCGTGATCTCTAACACGATCTCAAAAACGCAATCTCAATAGCGCGATCTCAATTGCGCAATCTCAATATAGCGCGATCTCGATATACCGCGATCTCGATATACCGCGATCTCGATATACCGCGATCTCGATATACCGCGATCTCGATATACCGCGATCTCGATATACCGCGATCTCGATATACCGCGATCTCGATATACCGCGATCTCGATATACCGCGATCTCGATATACCGCGATCTCGATATACCGCGATCTCGATATACCGCGATCTCGATATACCGCGATCTCGATATACCGCGATCTCGATATACCGCGATCTCGATATACCGCGATCTCGATATACCGCGATCTCGATATACCGCGATCTCGATATACCGCGATCTCGATATACCGCGATCTCGATATACCGCGATCTCGATATACCGCGATCTCGATATACCGCGATCTCGATATACCGCGATCTCGATATACCGCGATCTCGATATACCGCGATCTCGATATACCGCGATCTCGATATACCGCGATCTCGATATACCGCGATCTCGATATACCGCGATCTCGATATACCGCGATCTCGATATACCGCGATCTCGATATACCGCGATCTCGATATACCGCGATCTCGATATACCGCGATCTCGATATACCGCGATCTCGATATACCGCGATCTCGATATACCGCGATCTCGATATACCGCGATCTCAAACACGCGATTTCAATAGCACGATCTCAATATAGTGTGATATCAAACGCGATTTCAATAGTACGATCCCAAACGCGATCCCAAACGCGATCCCAAAAAGGGTTGTCAAGCGCGATCTCAAGCTTCTTCGATTTCGAGAAAAATGATAATAAAAATATAATATTATAACCCAGCCGAGAATACGCGACAACCGAAGTCGTCGATGATATACACCGACCGAACGTCTGAACGATATAATACCCCATGAATAAAATTTTGCGAACACCGAGAAGTTGCGCGGAGCGACGAACGATAACGCAAACTCACCCTTCGCGTCCCGCAGCTGACACCCGAATGAATGACAGGAATGTCGAACTAGCGGTCGTGTCCCCTCTCCTTGGATGACGTTAATCAAATCCTGACCTTCGAGTTACCGTATTACGTTTTCGAAATCCTAGTGCGTATTACAGCCGCGCCGAGGTAATTAGGGTAACGGACGACCTCGAGTCAGCGCGAATAATACAACGATAACAATGTTTTTCTTCGAGACGGGTCGAAGCCCGGATTAGATGCGGATTTTAATTGCGTATCTATGATACTGTTTCGGGCTTCTTTATATTTATAACTATGATACTATATTTATAACTAATATTTATATCCTGTGAGCGACGTTGTGTGTACGTTATATGTATGTCGTTGTGCGTGCATAGTGAGGGAGCACGTGCGAGACATGTACAGTGACTCGCATTAATATTCGGACACCATGTTATTAGAAAAATCATTGCTCCTTTTTACTGTTTATGATAGTATTATTGAATCAATTGTTTTCTCATATAATAAAGCACGTCTTAAAGCAAGTAGAAGCATAAATTTTGTTTATTTATTGCGCCTGTTCTTTCGTATAATAAGCGATCAACAAGAATGGGGTAACGGGCGACCTCGAATCGGCGCGAAGAATACAACAATAACAGTTTTTCATTAAGACAGGTCGGAACTCGCTATTCGTTTACGACTCGTTGGCGTAATCTTAAACGTGACAACAGCTCCTTAGATTTCAAGGAAATTGCGTAACCATCATCCGAGAACCCATCCGAATATGGTAACCGAAGCCTAAAAAAGATTTTAATTTTCTTAAAATTTTAACCCTTTGTGCTCGAGTGGCGATTCTGAGGTGCCACTAAAAATTGACATACTATTTTTCATAATCATTTCAGAGTATTAGATTCGTTTATATTTAAAAAACTGTTAAAATTGCATTATACTATCTATAGGCTCAATTTAATATGCATAAATCGCAATAAATTATATAAAATAGAAATACTATATAAATATAATAATACTATATATATGCAGATATATACTATACTATATATATATATACTATATAATATACTATATATAATACTATATAAATCAGAAAACATGTTTTGGATTTCGAATTCAAATAGCTTCGACAGCAAAGGGTTAATACCTAAATGTAACCAGGCTTTCTTGAGTTAACAATGAAATATTCTATAAAAACAAAAAATTGTTGGACAATCGTAATATATTATTCCGCTTACACATTTAAATTGTCTTGTTTTGCAGATAAACATGGATGGAATTTACAAGGAACAATAACACACCGTGAACGGTAAATTTGGAAAATATTTTATGTATCGGTATAAAACACTTTTAACGATAGATTCCAATTCATAGAAAGACCCAAAATTTTGATAATTACAATGATTACAATGAATGATAATTACAAAACGAATTAAAATAAAGAAAACAGAAATAATAAGACAAAAAACAAAGTATGCTGAAAAAGATGATAAAATAAAGAGAAGTACATACATATATGTTATGTGTACTTATACACACATAACACGGCATCAATGTATTTTTAAAAGCTGGCAACGCTGTAAATTAGCCACCTAAGGCACACGCTTTTCTCTGTTGCAGTCAGACGTAGTTCACCAGCTGACCGTTTCACGTGGATAGAGTTCGCTAATGCACCGCAGCATTTTCTACATAGTCGGTAATTCAGACCCTGAGATAAAAAGAGCATTGCATGCAGGCTGTACGAATCCGAAGTCTGTGGTATTGGACCGTTGCCTTACCAGCTTATGAAAACATTTATTTCTACCGTTACCGATGCATAATATAAAAGTAAAAAGTAAAATCGATCACAAATAAACTGATTATGAAAAACGAAAGTGATGAAGTTGTGAATTTCGAGAATATTTAGTTGCTATAAAAAAACAACGACAACTAAATATTCTACCAAACCAACATTAATATGTTCGTTTAAGTAAAATCGATCACAAATAAACTGATTATGAAAAATGAAAGTGATGAAGTTGTGAATTTCGAGAATATTTAGTTGCTATAAAAAAAACAACGACAACTAAATATTCTACCAAACCAACATTAATATGTTTGTTTAAGTAAAATCGATCACAAATAAACTGATTATGAAAAATGAAAGTGATGAAATTGTGAATTTCAAGAATATTTAGTTGCTATAAAGAAACAACGACAA